AAGAGGGTGAGGGACGAGAGCCCCGCTCCCCGGAACTGCCCTCTGTCCAGGGCAGACCTGGAGGGATGTCGCTGTCATGGGAGGAAGGGCAGGCAGGAAGCCTTGAGGGTATCTGGGGGTGCCCCCTGGTCCCCAATTTTCCAACCATCCCTTTCACATCAGAAGGGACAAATGAGGGAGGTGGGTTCCCCAATGGTCATAAGAAGGAACGCCACCCCGATGTCAGGGGGCGCGTGTGGAGAGTGGGGGGGCGGGAGGATGTGGGCGCCACGGGGTTAACACCCAGCTGTCCCCAGGGGCCTCCCCCTTTCGCCGGGGTCTCCGGGGCAGGAAGTCCCTGGGAGAGTGGAGGAAGGGAGATAGTATTGTCTGACTCAGGCCACTGGGGAGACATGATGGGGCTCCAGGGGAAGCGAGAATGGGGGGGTCCGGCCCGGCCCCCTGCCCCCGCCCTCAGGTGAGCCCAGGAGTTTTGAGGGAGGCCAGGGAAAGACAAAATCCCCGGGTCCCTGGCCCCCTCCCCACCGCACACACCCCAGGATTAAATTCGGGGGGGGAGACGGCTGGGACGATCTGGGAAGCTGGGTCCCCGGGGAGCTTGCTGTGACCTTGACGCTCCCAGGGCGCCCCCTCCTCCAACCCTGCAGTCCTCCTGCCAGAGCGGGAGGGAGCTTCCGGGCCCTCGAAGTTCAGGAGCGAGTCCCGCTCGGGAAGACTTTCCCGCGGCACGTAAAGGGGAACCCCGCAAACCACGGTGGGCGCCCCCATCTGTGCTCCAGGTGCCGGGGACCCCCACACCGGCCCCCACAAACCCTCTCGGGGCCCGAGTTGAGATTTGGGGGGATCCTGAGAACTGCCCGAAGCCTGGCCCCCCCGGCGGGGAGGACCTGCCAAGTTGGAGGGCCGCCGGAAAAAGTCTTAAAAATTCGGGAGTCCTCGGAACGCCCCCAAATCTGAGGTTCTCCCCGGAGAACCTCCCCGGCACCACCGCGGAGCTTGGGAGTCGGGGGGAAGAGGTCGACATCTGGAGCTCATCCAAGGGGGCTCGGCCGCCAATCCGAGGCTCCCAGCGCCCGGTCCCCAAATTCCAGCCCGGAGCGAGTTGGGGGGAGGGGACAAAAACTTGGGTCCACAACTGGAACATGGGGATTATAATAATTATTAAGGCTTGTTCACACTCATTCAGCACATACTTATTAAGCAACTTCTATGGCTCTAATGCTGATATGGAAGAAATGAAACATATTCTCACTCTCACTGCTCACATGCTAAGGAGGAAGGCACCAAAAGCAAACATACAACATTAGAGAATGACAAGTGCTACAAAAGGCGGCGCACCCACAGAACGGGGCGCCCCTGGCTCGAGGTTCAGGGGTTCGGGGTTGGCTCCGGGTTCTGCTCAGTCTCCCCCAGGGTCCCGCCCCATAGAGTCCGGCTTCCTGGGGAAAACGTGGACGGGGCCGGGGCGGGTCCTCGGGCCTCCTCCACCCTCTGGGGGGTCTGACCGGGGTCCCCCCGACAGAAGGGGGTGCGACGTCCCCTCCGCGGCGCTCCCCGCGGCCGCCGGCGGCTACAGTGTTACTCTTACTACTGTACTTCCCTCCCGGCCGCTCGTTCCAACATCCACTCCCCGTACCCACAGTTCCCTGCGCCTTAAAGGGGCCGCGAGCCAACCGAGGCGGGGTGGGTGGGGCGGAGGGCGCTTAAAAGGGCAACGAGGAACCTTACACCCCAACATTGCTGCGCGGGGCCGCTTGCCGGGGTCACTCTCACGTGGGGGGCCGCTCGGTGGAGGGGAAGGGACCCTAGTTCTCCCCACGATGGGAATCCTTAGGGGGATCTCAGGGGGGCACCGTGCATTCTCGCCCTTCCCATCCACTTCTTCGTTTCTTTGCACTCTGCTCACTTTGGGGAGGGGGCGAGAAGGACCCTCACATTTCCCCCCTTAAGTCCTCCCCTCTGACCCCCCAACGTCTCTCTTCTCTGCCAATTCGGGGGGTGACTGAAGGTGCACCCTCTCCCCGGCACTGGCGGGGGAAGGTGGGAAGGACTCCGCCCC